TCTATGTTGACGTCCTAAGCCTCTGAAAAATTACTAGAACCACGTCTTAGTTCATGTAGGGGAAGGGGGCGTGCAAAATGCGTTGATGAAACAGCTGGGTCTTTATGCCACAACGCCCAATTATGACATAGGGTTGATTGCTGCTATCGTTCCTGCTATCATGTTTGGGCAATTTTTACCAGAATTCCTATCCCCACGCTACCATCGGGTAGCTCCACCCAGACCCGATGTCTTCAGGACCTTCTCTGCAGCTTACAATGCCAAGCGCCACGACGCCGGGTGCTTGGGGCCAGTGGTCTCCGACTCTCAAAGAGTCTGCCTGTGTGTTTTTAAAGGGTTCCCAGCAAGCAGCCCCATTCCACCAATACAAACGGACGTGTCCTTATACCTTGAGATGTATCAGAGGAGGACAAGAATGGGTGCAAGATGTTGGGGACTGGAACTTGAGTATTGGGTCTGGGGATTCTTTCGCAAGACCATGCCTACCACCGAGATTCCACTGGTTCCTAATGGGAAGGCTGGCATCATCAAATTCCGCCGTGGTACAAAGACGGGCTCCTCTGGGCATACTTTCCAGGTCCCCACAATAGTCTTATTGGGTAACTCGGCCTTTGCTGCGACGGCTCTTTGTCTTCTTTTCATGTCCTTGAGCCGCTAGGTTTTGTTGGGGCTGCACAGGCCGCAGAGGACAGAAGAAGGGTTTGATAACCCTGATAAGGGGATGAGAGGGCCGGCCAGAGCTGGAGTCAGCACCCACAACAAGGTCAAGGTCCATCCACCTTACGATAAGGGATGAGGGTTTTGTCCTTCTCCTTGAACCCCAGAAATCGCGAGCACAATCCGGCTGAGACCCTGCTTCAGCTCCGGGATGTGTGAAATGTTCCCAAAAGCCGAAGCCTTCCAGTCTCCCCTGCATCGGATTTGCTTCTTTCTCAAAGCTCGTGAGTTCGCAATGTGGAAGCCACAATTTCGACTTGCTGGGGAACTCAGAACATTGAGAAACCCAACTTCCAACGTCCAATGTTGTTGTTCAGGTTGCCTCCGATGTGATTCAGGTGACGATCTCGGCGCACCTCGGATGAAATTTCCTCAGCAGATCAGCTCTATCCCTATTGCTACTACTGCGTTTCCTTCTGCTGCTACTGCCACTGCCACTGCCAATGCTACTGCAGCTACATTGATAACCTTGCTATGGACGACCACGATGAATGACTTTGGACGACGGACGACCAACGATGCATGACTGGCGGTAGACGCAGCAAACCACAACACCTGATTCCAGAGCAACACCGCCCGACAGCACTATTCTTGCCTCTTGTGGTGCGAACAGCACGCATGATACAGAAGGCTTTAGGGTTTGGATTTAGCGCTTAGTGGGTTAAACCGAGTCACCATCCTGTCGTCCTCAGGCCCCCCGTGGCGAAAAACAAAGGATCTGCCAGGCCGGGGCTCCGAGAAAAGACTGCCAGGATAAGGGAAGAGTTTAGAGTTTAGGGCCCGGAGCTTAGGATCAACGATGTTGAGGATCAATCAGGGTTTATGCTTTAGAGCATGTTGATCGAGCATTGCCGGGAACGAACCAGTAGCCAAGGGGAGAAGTGCCTAAGGGATTAAAAACATTGGGGACCCGCTGTTGAGGATACCATAAGGACAGGGCCTTCTAGTTAGTCACTAGTCACATTTGGAGGGGCTTTCAAAACGCATGCAGTATTTCCACATTTGTGGTTCCAGAAGGGATCTACAAGAGGTAGCCTCGCAGACACATGAGGACCCTGTATTAGCGCGGTCTTCATTCAGAACTGGTTTCTTTTCTTCCGGATTTGGGTTCTCGGACACATAGCTTGATTGCAACATTGCAAACAACTGAAGGCACCCCACTCGATGATAGAAGCTTTAAAGTTTTGCGCTTTCAGGTGCAAGCCCAACAGTTAACATGTTGGCTTACATGTACACCTGCCTCAGTCTTCCAGCTGGTGGCCTGAGTATGGTGTATCCCCTGGTGGGCCCTTTGTGCACAGATGTATGGTACGTTAGCCCGTTCGTGTTGCAGAACTGAGGCTACCTGACCTAAATTCCCAAGCCCTCTGCAGACAGCGCAGGTCACCGCACTCCAGTGCCAGAGGGCAAGGCCTGCACAGGGATTTTGTAGGGCCCAGCTGGAACAATGATGGGATTTTTCCCGAATGCGCAGCAGAAGGGTTCTCGTCTCGAGGTTGGGTCTGGGGGTTGGGAGTTGACGCGAAATCCGTGCAGAGCGTTCGCAAGAGTCCGCAAGCGTCCGCGGCCGAAAATCGTCGCGAAACGCAAAACTGTCGTCACTTTTGGGCTTGCGTCAGGTCTTCGTGTCTCAAAGGTGTCAACAGTCACAGGGATCCGGGGGGTTCTGTTCGCACAATGCAGAACTGTCGTCACTTTTGGACTTGCGTTGGGTCGTCGCAAAAGTGTCAACAGTCTCACGGGGGGGGGTCGTGGTCGCGAAACGCAAAACTGTCGTCACTTTTGGGCTTGCGTTGGGTCTTCGCGTCTCAAAAGCGTCAACAGTCTCAGGGATTGGGGGGGTCGTGGTCGTGCAATGCAGAACTGTCGTCACTTTTGGACTCGCTTTGGGTCGTCGCGTCTCGAAGGTGTCAACAGTCTCAAGGATCGGGGGGGTCCTGGTCGCAAAACGCAGAACTGTCGTCGCTTTTGGATTTGCGTTGGGTCGTCGCGTTTCAAAAGTGTCATTAGTCTCAGGGATTGGGGGGGTCGTGGTCGAAACGCAGAACTGTCGTCACTTTTGGACTCGCTTTGGGTCTTCGCGTCTCAACTGTCAACAGTCACGAGGATCGGGGGGTCGTGGTCGCGAAACGCAGAACTGTCGTCATTTTTGGATTTGTTTTGTCTTGAAAGAGAAGAGGAGAGAGAGCAGAGAGGAGAAAGGAGATGAGAGGAGAGAGGAGAGGCGAGAGGAGAAGAGAGGAAAAGAGAA